TAATATCTCTTATCTGTTGTATTTGAGCAGGACAGGGATGCACTTTGGTGACACATAAAACAAATTCCCAACATTATGTGTCTTTTGTGTCTTTCCATCATTTCCATCATGTTTGATGTGCTTGCAGATCACAAGCATTTCCTAATTTCACTTCAGAATTTTTTGTTATACTTAATCTTTTGTTATATTTTTTATACTGTCATCATTTGTAAAGTATACAGTATATATATATATATATATATATTTACTTTCCTTTACCTTTACCAAATGTACCTGTATTTACTTTGTTTTCATATTTGGCGACTTTTTGTGAAAAATGGAGACTTTTGAGGGTGGTTCTAGAGATTTTCTGAGGGAGGGGTTTGGCAACACTGGAGGCGGCCCCTTCAAACCAGCGCAGATTCGGCTACATAAGGAGCTTAAAATATCAAACAAATCTAAATTTATTTTTAACATTCATTATACATTTACAGCCAGTTGGTTTATTAATTGACAGTTATTCCATTAGTAGTAGGCTAGAGTCTGCCTGGTTTACCGTAGACTTGCGTAGCCAGGTTTTCCAGCTAAAGTCTGGTCTACTTTGTGGTTTATTCTGACTACAGCTTGCCCACTTTGTCTGGAAGAGGTTGTACAGTAGTTATGTCTTGTTTCAGGCAAAGTTCTCTAAAATTCTTTTCTTTCAACCTCAAAGAATTCTAGTCAGTCATACGTCATGGTCAAATGAAATCAAAATAAGTCTGTGACTCACTAATACAGTTTCAGTAAGCCGTTGCCATCTTAGACATGACATTATGACGGGGTTTATCAGTCAGTTCCGACTTCCAGCGACGTCCCAGTGGTTATTTTGATTGTCTTGAGATCCAAATTGTCTCAAACGCACCATCATGGTGTCTACCAACAGCAGCGTATTGGACCATGCTTATGAATGACATTCCAATTTCTTTGTACACATTACATCATTGATTATATTTGTTCTCTATAGAATATGAACATGCCCTTCAGTAAGGCTATAACGTAATATTTAGGGTTTTATTGCAGTGTCTAAGAAAAGAACACTATTTCACTCACTCAGATGGTATATAGACCTGCACAGATTGTAGTTCTAAAATCTAGAAGAAAATTATATTTTCATGGTTTGCCTCTGTTATTTCTTATGGTCAGTTAGGGTATAACTATTTGTAATCTATGTTGTAAACAATAGAAGAAGAATGTGCTTTGAAAGGCATTTGAAATCAAATTAAATAGGAATGTTTGCCCTCTGCTGGTCATAATAACAGAACACTGATTTTGTAAAAGTATAAGAACAACCTGTGAGGAAAATGGTTACTTTTTGACTGCAAAAAGCCGTACTCTTCACTCACTCTTGTCACACAGTCTACTAGTAATAAAGAATGACATAGCATGCTAAATTTAACGTTTCATAATTAGCCCATCATCATTCTGCGTTAACTAACGGGGATGGCCCTATAATAATCTATTTAAAATCTATAAATGATTAACATAAAAATATCGCAAACAACCTGCGGTGATTTTCATTCTCTGTTATTTTTAAATTAAACCTCTTTCGGGAATTTAACTGTGACTTTATTATTTTTTACAGCAAATATTTTAGTAATTATTCTGACTAATTTACCACTGTGACTGTCAGTCAAAATGGTACACTGTAGATTCGGCGTAATAAAATATGTTTTTCAAATAAAAATCGAAGTGTTTCCATTAAAACAGTCCTGAGCTCCTGCAGTACTCAATGGCAACGCGCATGACGGAAGTCGTCACTGCAAGTCAGTAGCAAATATTCCGACGTTTGCGAATTTTGTTAGCACTGCGTGTGTTAATTTCATGATATAGTTAATTACGTAGCTGCCGTAATAATACGCGGGGTTAGTGTGCAGTCAGTTTGCTCTGGAAATCTGTCCAGCAGTCTAAATATGGTTCTGAAGGGTCGCCGGAAATGACTTTTACTGGCTTAAAGAAATCACATCCGACCTGTGCATCATGAGGATGGCACGGCGAGTATTCGTGATCATATAACAGCACACTCTCGCCGCCGGAGAGGGGTTATTATTATTTTTTTAGCGAGGACTGACAGTTGTAAACGTGAACGCGATATAGGTACTGCTTTATGAAACATGTCTGACTTGCTCTTGATTTAATTGTGTTCGTTTCGGGGGCCTTCGAAACCCTGACATGCATGAGGAGCCTGTTCATTGACATCAGTATGCATAAGAAACAGTCGTGAAGTAATTATGAATAAGTTCTTTAATGAATTACATGCGAAACGTATGATGATATTTCCGACGAAACCTGCTCAGTTTCATTTATGCTATTATTTCTTACAAAACACCAGCTGGTGTTTTAATACATCACGATTTATGTGTATAATGGGACATGTATGAGGACGTGTAAACAGTTAAGTACAATTTTGGACAGTGTACCATGGTATTATTGTACGTTTCTTGGAATTGTATGTAAATACCATGGTATATGAATAGAATTTTTCAGTACCATGTTACAAAGTAATTACAATACAATACAATATTACCATTTCTTGTATTGGACTGTCATACTAATATACTAATAAATATACTAATTCAGTGCCATGGTATTACTATCTGAGACCTTACATTTTGTAAATACCATGGTACAATATATACAATACCGGTCTTGTATGGTAAGACCAAAGAATAGACACTAGAGTAATATTAATCTTAACACATTTAATTCATGTTATGACTTCTGATGTATTCTGTCCCATCAGTCCCTTTAAAAGATGTTGTCCAATCCTCCGGCTGAGCAGAAAGGGACAGAGCAGGTGCCTGCGTCTGCGGCTGGTCCATGCCATCGTGCTGCTCAGTCTTTGCTGTATCAGGAGCAGCTGCCTGTAGGATGCAGAGAAACCAGCAGGGAGGAGATTGAATCTGGTGACACAACACGATCCTCAGACTTTGGGAAAGGCGTGAAGGAAGTTCATTTGGAGAATGAAGGAGCTCTGAGACAGATGACATTTGATCCAAAAAGTAGTAACTTTGGAGTCGGTCCTCGTTCGACTCGCATGCACATGTGTACTCAGCAAGGTAATGCTGAATGTATGCAATCAAATCTGCAATGTTCACCCCAAGTTTGTTTTTACAAAAGCAAATCATATTTCCCCTTGCTACCTGAGAAGAAACTCCTATGTTCATATTTTGTTTTTCAATTCTATAAAAATTAAAATGTGCAACAGTTAATTTCCTTATTATGCTATGTATCACATTATCATAAACCACCTCTTAGTGTGTGTTTTATTTTATACACAAATTAAAAACATTAGAATGATAAATATATACCTACACTACCGTTCAAACTTTTTAGGTCAATAAGAATTTTTAATGTTTTAGAAAGACGTCTTTTATGCTCAAAATGCTGTATTTATTTGATAAAAAAAAAACAGTAAAAACCGTAATATTTAAAAATATTATAAGTCTATTTTCATGAATTTTAAAGTGTATTTTATTTCAGTGTGAGCAAAGCTGAATTTTCAGCAGCCATTACTTCAGTCTCCACTGTCACTTGATCCTTCAGAAATCATTCTAATATGCTAATTTGGTGCCAAAGAAACATTTATTATTATTTTTTCGAATGTTGCTAATAGTTGTGCTGCTTAATACTTCTGTGGACACTGTGGTACTTTTTTTCTTCAGGATTATTTGAATAAAAATTTCAAATAAATGAATAGAAAGTTAAAAAGAACAATATTTATTTGAAATGGAAATCTTTTGTAAATGTGTTTACTGTCACCTTTGATCAATTGAATGAATAAAAGTATTAGTTTCATTTAAAGAAAAAAAAATCTAACCTGACCCCAAACATTTGAATGGTGAAATATAGCAAATATTTAGGCAGTACGCCATGATGATTGTTATTGAATAGTTAAATAGATGACAAAATGTTTTTGTTAGACATTGCTTAGATGAATAGAAAACGAACATTGCAAAATAATAATACAATAATAAAATACAGAATATAACATAATATACATGTATGTATATAAATAAAAATACAATATAAAATAAAATAACGCAGAAGGGTCTTTCAGGTCTCCCATAGTTTGCTGCCCATTCATTTAGCTTTATTTTATGAAATCTCTACGATTGATGAATTTGTCCTCTGTGTTTTTTTTTTTTTTTTGGTCTGCACAGGAGTAGCTTCAGAAGTGTGTGCACGTTTTACCAAAAGGAACATTGCAGATGTATATTGTAAAATAATTGGTTCCAAATGGAATCAAAACAGTCTTTTGGTATCGAGTCAAGATGTTACAAAGCGCAGCTTTTAATCAACATCTCCTTTGCAGAGGCCAAGTTTAGGGATCCACGATGGACATCTGCCACCTTCAATTCTTCTCCTCCAGCTGGACCATCAGGAGAGCAACTTGGAACTCTGGGAAGATTTCTTGTGTCCCATCAAACTGAGATGAAGCGTCTGCTAACTGATACCTTCGGATCTCTTACTCAGCGTCTTGAGGCAGTGGAGAGGAGGATGGACCAACTGTGTTCACAAAGCAGTGCACATACCCACAGTTTAGCTCAGCTGCACAGTAAAGTTGGCCAGCTGGGAAGAGACTTGTCCTTTAGCTGTCCAAATACTCCAAGTGTTTCATCAGCTTGCAGTTATGGTAAATGTTCAAGTTAGCATTATAAACAGTCGGTTAATTTAATTATTATGTAACTTGAAGCTAATTTCATATAATCTGAAAGATCCCAACCCAAATGCTGTGATGAGCAGAGTTTTCTTTCCTGTGTTGATATGAATTTGCAGTGGGAAAAAAAGATAACTTTTTTAATAACTAATATCATGTAATTTATGTTAAAGCCACAAACCATGATTTCCTCCTATTGCTTGTCATGGACGGGTGGTATTTGGAAGAGAGGACATTCTTGTTCTATATTTGGTCCGTTTTTCTGTAAGAGAAATTCATCCAGGTGTTTGCTAAAAGATTATTTAGTAAACTTTTAGGAGTACACTAGAATGGGGGTGACCTTAAATCTAAGCATAGATTAAATTTTGATTTGACTTATTATTTTGTTCTTGCAGGAGTGGATGCAGACATGCCGAAAGACTACAAAGAAATCATCTCAAATATCTCCTCTCCCGAATCAAAGAAGGACCCTGTGTGTTCTTGGGCAATGTCAACACCTTCCCAGTCCAGCCAAAGTCCCCCTCAAAAGCCTGAGGACCTGAGCTGTCAGGATCCAAGTAGAGATTGTAGCAGCTCCAGTTCATCATGTGGAATTTTAAAAACGTGCCCTTCGGGACAAACTGACAATTGTTTGCAGGGTAACTACTCACCCGTTTCAGATTTTGAAGACCTGGAGATGGAACTGGAAATTGAGAAGGACAGAGTTGCTTTAAACTTATTGGTCGATTCTGTGCTCAGCAGCTCAGATGACAATGACCGCTGGGGACTTCCTTGTAATCAAGAAGTACTGTCCTCTGATAGTGTGGGGAATAATAAATCTGTTCAGGAAGGAGAAGGTACCTTGAATAATCAGTGTTTACCTGTTCCTGAAAAACCTTGGGTGCCTTCCATTCAGTTTCTCAGATCTTCAGCTCCTAGTGACTTAAAGTCAAACACAAATACAGATCATCTTTGTTCATTTTCAAAAGCAATGAAGCTCTCTTGGAAACCAGTGGCATTGACAGATTCCTCTAAAGACGAGTGTGAAAAAAGCCAGCAGCAGTCCTTTAGTCTAATGACCTTTCCTTTCTCCACTAAGCCACTAGGAGCGCAACCCAACCCTGATAAACCCAAGGGTTGTTCAGTTCAGACTTCTAATAAGAATGAAGACGCGATCTTGGACAAGATCAAAACAAATGGTTTTTTCCACTCTACTATTACTTCACTAAACAATAGTACTTCAGTCTTGGATCACATCCCAGCGTCAAGGTATATAGATGGACTGACAGGGTCAACTGCTGGAGATTCTGACGAGAGCACAAAGATAGGTAATAAGGGACAAAGCGTTGATTGTCAGTACTCAAATGTATCATACACCATAAAGGATAGCCCAATAAAACTCCCTTTTCAAGGGTCATCAATCCTGCCATACTGTGAACTTGCTTTATCAAACCAATTAGTAAAAGGTGTAGGTGACCAAAAATCAATGACATTTCATCAAGCACACTCCACTTCCCATCTCTCGGCCCCAAGAAATGGGTCTTCCGAATCATTTTTAGACAGTGATACTAACAAACTGTTGAATCAGCTCTCGGATACTGCCTATCGCTTGGTGTCCAGAAGCTGTTCTTCAAGCGACTTGGACCGATGGAGTGGTTGCAGCAGAACTGGATCCAAACTCAAACAATGTGGTGGAAAGAAACCTCACTTTCCTGGATTTCCCACTCTTAAAGAAGGACAAAGAAAGGGTTTCTCCAACTTTGAGCAGGCAGGAGGGATATCCAAACATTGGCAGCCGATTCTCGAGGACTTGATACTTCCTGTCTCTTCTCGATTTACTGGTACACAAGCTTGTCCTTCAGATGCTTTACCTATCAACCTGGATAAAGACTCTGCGTGTTGTCCTAGCTTATCTCAACTTTTTTGGCCCACCACTCCACCTTTGTCTACTTTAAGCAAAGGGAGCTTCTCTGGGGCAGGTGTTAGTACCGTTCTGGCTTTATCTTCTCCAGCTTCCTTCAGACTGTGGTTTCGACACAGGCGGATCAGCTTTCCTCTTATGCAGTTGACACGTCCTGGTATCCATACGGTTGTGAGTCAGATTTTGGGAAGGTGCAAGTTTCATCCTTTTCGACCTCTGGTTGACTTTACAGCTCCACCAGGCGTAGACAACGATCACCAGTGAGTTAAAGCTGTTGAAGTTAAAACTTTGTTTTGCATGTTTTGATCGCAAGGAAATTTGATTTACTTAATCAGTGGTGAATGCTAGTTTTTACCTGCATGCTACTTGCATTTACAATTCAACCCATTTTGATCTTTTCATTGATAGCTATATACGCCGATCCAGTCAAGAAGCTACACCCAGCAGGAAAAGAGCGTCAGCACGGTGGGCATATCCCCCTGCATCTTTCGCAATTTAGCCAATCTATTCATTGAAAAAAAAATGTATCAGTCTAAAAAATAACTGGTCTGCTAACCAGTTATGGTTCAGTTTGTAGGTGAAGTGCATCATTTTAGCGCAACTAGCAACACAAAACCGAATTGCTGAAAATCATTCCAAACCTATGGAAGTCCGACAGTGGCCAGGCGTCTTTACTATGTTTCGATCTTTTTTTCCTTGAAACTGCATGTTTGGAATGCAAACATCACTATTATTAATTCAGCTACACTTACAGACGTCAAACTTCAGTGCATTTTGCTACATACATGAATGACAAGCTTGGTGTGTGCTGTTACTTTTCTAAGCGACTGAATGTGCGATTTTCAGGTATTAAAAAATAAAGCTTGTAGAAGAAGTGACCAATCTAAATCTACAGACAGAGATATCATAGAGATCTGAGGGTGGATTCTTTTGGGGTGGGCCAATAAGAAACCACCCACAACACCCTAGCAACTCCATAGCAACACCCTGGCAGGAACCCAGAACACTGTGTCCTAACCAAATTCTTTAAGATTTCTAGTGACAATTTGTCTTTCGGATGAGACGTTAAACCGAGGTCCTGACTCTCGGTGGTCATTAAAAATCACCCATTGGCCTCTGACCATCATGGCCTCCTAACAATCCCCATATCTACTGATTGGCTTCATCACTCTGTCTTCATCCTCTCCACCAATAAAGCTGGAGTGTGGTGGGCGTTCTGGTGCACTATGGCTGCCGTCGCATCATCCAAGTGGATGCTGCAGACTGGTGGTGGATGAGGAGATACACCCTGACAATGTAGAGCGCTTTGAGTGCTTAGAAAAGCACTATATAAATGTAATGAATTATTATTTATTATTATTATTGTCTGTACACACCAGTTGCGACATATCTACGAGATATGCAAATCAATCACAAATCACAGTCAATCTGAAGAGCATGTGGGTGGGCTCTCTCTCTGCAACCGCACTGCTGTCTCACACTTCCAAGGAAATAGATGTTTCCTTTATTATTTTCCTTTATTATTTCCTTTTCAAGGTCTGAGGTAAATTATCCATAGTCTCTTTAATTATGGCTGTTAAAGTCATGCAAAATGATATTTAAAACCAAATTTCTGCACAAAACACAGTTAATACCAGAGGTGTCACTCATGATAGAAACTGTTCCAAAATTAGAATCCCCTGTCGCTCGTTGTGTATCGCTAACATGGCTGGTTACATCAAAAACTTTATTAATATGGAAAAGACGTTATTCGTATTGCAGCATTGCATTGTAAAATGTAAACAAAATCTAGTTTTTCCATTCAGTTTCGTGCTGCTAGTGGTGCAGAAATTACTCACTTCACCTTAAAGTGATCTTCTCACTCTCAGAAATAAAGGTACAGCAGCTGTCACTGGGGTGGTACCTTTTCAAAAGGTACTTATTTGAACCTAAAGGGTCCATTTTGGTATCTTAAAGGTACATATTGGTACTTAAAGTGTACATATTAGAACCTAATAGTTACAAAAGTGTACCTTTTGAAAAGGTACTGCCCCAGTGACAGCTGTTGTACCTTTATTTCTGAGAGTGCTTAATAAAATAAAATCGATGTCTTTTAAAACATTCTGTCATGATTGTTGTCAGATTTGAAGCCAATCCAATTTTACAAACCACAGATATCTGCACTTCTAAGCTGATTATTTAATCATGTAGATGTTGACTGATGTTATATTAGCAATCACCTGGTATTCTCTAAAATGCTTGCTTCTTTCACTGTGTGTAGGAAAGCCACCTCATCTTCATCAGTGTGTCATCTGTCAAAAATTAGTTTCACACCAGAAAGGAGTCTGGATCACTCTTCTCGGCACAGCATCAGCCCCAAGTCTGTGCGATTGGATGAATCCGCCACTGAATCTGTGCCTAGTTTTGCTATTGCCAGTGCAAATGTCAAATACCCTGGTTTACACAGTCGGGCGGCGTCAACAGAAATGAACCAGGTATTATATATATCATCTCTTGTAGCATTTGAACAAACAGTGAAAGAAGGAAGAATGAAAGCTGGTGAAAGTATTTGGATTTTCAGACATAAAAGATTTCACATTCCAGTTTCCTCAAGGCTGGACATTCATCTTTCTTGTAGGTGGAACTCTACGACACTAATGCTGAAGCTCAAGGAGGTCAACGTTCCAAAAAAGTCTCCCAAATTCGTATTCGTAAGACAGTTCCCAAACCAGATAACAACCTTACTCCAATGGGACTCCCCAAACCAAAGAGGTCTGCTTTAGTCTTTACAGTAAATGTTGATGTGGAATCTGATTAGAACTGGCTGATATGTAAATATTAGACTATTTGCTAGAATTCTTGTGATTAATGTATATTTTTCTATATATTTTTTTTTATTATTCAGAGGAACCATCATTTCAACAAAAGACGCAAATGCAAAACTGCTCTTTAGGAATCTTAAAGGAACACTATTTTTGAAAATAGGCTCATTTTCCAACTCCTCTAGAGTTAAACAGCTGAGTTTTACCATTTTCGAATCCATTCAGCCAATCTCTGGGTCTGGTGGTAGCACTTTTAGCTGTAGCTTAGCATAAATGGATTCGAAAACGGTAAAACTCAACTGTTTAACTCTAGGGGAGTTGGGAAATGAGCCTATTTTCAAAAATAGTAGAGTGTTCCTTTAATGGCTAAATTAAAAGTGCTTGAAAATTGCTGTGATACTTACAACATTGGTTAAAACATATCATAAATATTCGTTCACCTTTAAAACATTCTATTTTGTGTCCCACAAGGCTGAAGAAAAAGGAATTCAGTTTGGAGGAGATTTATACCAACAAGAATTACAAGTCTCCAACCCCTAACAGGTTTGTTTTTGCTATTTTTATCAATCAATTAATTTTTTTACTCTTTGTGTTATTCTGGAAGTCATTTTCTGATTCTGATTTTCACTTATGCAGAAGCCTGGAGACGATATTCGAAGAACCAAAAGAGAAGAATGGCTCTTTGGTATGTATTGGTCATCAGAAACGAAAGCGAGTTCTAGACTTCCCAGATTTCACACTGCCTCGCAAGCGCAAGGCTAAAACTAACCTGGGTCCACTGCGTGTGAAAGGACCACGAGGACGGGCTCGTAGGGGTAGACAGGACGACGTTGACCTTGATGTATTGCTAATCGAGAAGCTCACAGAGCTGGAAGACTACTTCTCTCGCCAAGGCCTGGAGGTTTAAACTCAGTTTTTCACAAATCTTTATTCTCGGTTACCAAAAATTTTGGTTTTAATCTTTTTGCCTGAACAAGGAAAGAATTTGAGCTTGTTCAGCCATCGTTGTTCAAAGAGCGTTTAGCAATAGAGGGAAAAGAACACTTTCTTGTAGCATTTACAGTTGAGACTTAGAGTGTGTGAAGTGGACTGACCCAAAAGACATTTGAGCAATGAGCGTGTGTGTGTGTGTGTGTGTGTAATATAAGCACATTATAGTAAACCTTCACTTGAGCACTTTCTGTATCCTCACAATGTGACTGCTGCAACCTAGTTGTGTTGTGTTTCTCTTGCATTTGCAACATGTTGCTTACCAACACGCTCCTAACTGTCATTTTCTGGCAAAAAAAGAGAGAAATAATGATTGATTGTGTGGTTTAAGCCCTTCAAGGTCTCTTAAAAACAAGGAGATGTTCATTCTTGACTACTAATGACATCTGAAAGTGCTTTCTAAATGAAAATGCTGAGGGATTTGCTGCAAAAAACAAGAATACGAAAAACTAGTTTAAGTTTTTACTTTCTTTTAAATATTTTAAGGTACAGTGCCGTGTTTGATCACTATATTCTTGTGAGATGTTCTAAAATTCTTAATGCATTTCACCATAGAAATAATTCTTTACTTTGTGTTTCTGCATTTGTTGTTCTTGCAGGGCCGTTATGAATTAGCCAGTTTTTAAATGGGCTTTCCCTCAACCTTCTCACCTTTAGCTGCTAGACTGTTAAATTGAACTTCTTCAGCTGTTTGACATTGTTTTGAAAATCAATGAATCATGAATCATTTATTCATCCTTCATGTCAATCCAAACCTGTATGACTTTCTTCTTCAGAATGCAAAAATATAAAAATGTCCATATAATGAAAGGTAATGGAACCCAGTGTTGTTATTTGGACAAAAACAGTTGCAACATACTTCAAAATATCTTCTTTTGTGCTCCACAGGAGCAAGTAAGTCTTGCAGGATTGGAATGACATGAGGGTGAGGAATTAATGACAGAAATTCAGTTTTAAGAAAACTGTCCTCTAAGGTTTTTTGGTTTATATAGCTAAGAGAACATTCTGAGATATGGAATACATGTTTGCCGTGAATCTATGGTTCTTTTTTGCTGGCTTAATATCTGGTTGACATTAGTGAAGCGTTTGGTGAGATCCACCTTCCACATTTCTGATCTGACATTTACTGGGTGTTATATGCAGCTAATTAAGTGATGAGCTGGCCAGATTTGACATATTTTTAGTTTTAATTTTATCATTCCATTGTGCGATATACTGCCACAAAGTTCTCATATCTTGATGATGAAACTAAGGTAACTTTTTTTGTCTTGATGTGGTGAATTGTCTTTTTTTAATGCAAAGCTTTTACAATCAATTGTAATTAACCTTGGATCTATTACCTATAGCTTTGAAAGTCTGTTATCTGCACTTGACCCCCAAATAATCTGAGCCTTTGCCCGGCGAGCATCTCTGTGCCAGTATGTGATCGAAATGTGCTTACAATGCAACCTATAGACATGTATTGTCTCTTTCAATCACTTTGAACTGTTAGAATTGTACTCGCAGGCCCAAATGTAAAAAAGGCTGATGTGTGTTTACTCAGCTCTGTTGGTGGAACCAGTTGTTAGATCTTTTTTTTTTTACAGTGTTACAGAAACTGCTGCTGTTGTGCTTCTCTTTGAGCTCACCAACAGATCAACACTAAGTAGTGAAAAATTTAAGGGGGTCTAAATACTTTCCGTACCCACTCTATATATATATATATATATATATATATATATATATATATATATTTTATGAATAAAAATAATGTTAACTACGAGTCAGTGTCATGCTTGGATGGTTTACTCAAATCACAATAATTTATCTTTTTTTAACAGATGAATACTAAAAATTAGAATATTAATATTAAATAAATAAAAATAAAGTCAACAAAAATGAAAAAAAAAAGCAATAAAATAAAGAAAAAAAATTATTTTAACATACATTTAAATACATTTTCTTTATAATCTTTCTTTGTCATGTTGATGTTTCTGAAACTGTAAAGCAAACAACAAAAACTAAAACAGCAATACCTTTTTTTCTTGTTTGTTTTGTTTAATTTATTTTTGTACATGGCAATGTGACCATACCATGGTTTTTGGACATTTAATATGGTAGTACTTGCCTAGTAATCTGGATTATGTAATCAGAATCCAAAAAATTATGTACTTGTAATTAGATTATAATACATTTTTAAATACTTGTAATCAAACTAGTTACTTTTTTATTGATTACATTATTCACACAATAGCGATAAATTATTCATAATTGATTGATTCTCACTAATTCTCTCCTAAATCTTTTAAATTTTCCTTTCTAAATAGCCTACTGCTTACATACATTCAGAAACTCTTCTAGTTTTGTGGGAATTCACACAAAGACCAGTCACTACTCAGAAAACTGAGAGGCCACACACTACATTTGACCACTGGATTTACAGAACATTTGAGCATTGTGCCTGAACATTTGAACTGAACATTTGAACATCTGAACATTTGAACATTGTGCCAACTACTGATTACTTCGGTCACATGACATGTAAACAAATAATATATTTCATTAATAAGTGTTTTATTTTGATTGTTGTTATTTTAAAATGATTTAATTTTGCATTTTTATGATTTAACTAATTATTAGCCTTTCATTAAATTCTCAAATCCCCTGCAGTTCCTTCTCGAACCCCAGTTTGGGAAACCTTGACATAATGTAATGTTTAATGCACTTCATATTGTTCATAACAGTAAATGGAATATATTTAAATCAATGTGATAAATGAATTAGGTCAAAAGTAATCTAAAAGTAGTCTGATTATATTACCAAAAATGTGTAATGTAGTGGATTACGTTACTAACTACAATTTTTGTCATGTAATTTGGAATCAGTAATGGACTTGTAAGTAATCTACCCAGCACGAATGGTACCAACTAAATATTTACACTTTTACTATTTATTTCCTTTTTTAGTTTGTTTTAAATGTGATATTTGTTTATTTTCTAATTGATTTAAAGGGATAGTTCACCCAAAAATGAAAATTCTGTCATAATTTACTCATGCCATTGACTTCCATAGTAGGAAAGAAAAAATATATGGAAGTCAATGGCAACCACCAACTGTTTGATTACCAGCAATCTTCAACAGTGTTGGGGGTAACGCATTACAAGTAACACAAGTTACGTAATCAGATTACTTGTTTTCAAGTAACTAGTAAAGTAGTGAAAGTCATGAGGGATTCGTATCATTTAAGATGGTAGGCTTAAGACAAGCTAATAATTTAACACTGAAACTATTTATTCATTTTCTAATGTCAACCAGCCAGTGTTGGGGGTAACGCATTACAAGTAACGCGAGTTACAGAATCAGATTACTTTTTTCAAGTAACTAGTAAAGTAACGCATTACTTTTAAATTTACAAGAGAATATCTGAGTTACTTTTTCAAACAAGTAACGCAAGTTACTTTTTTCCCCAATTTATTGATTGAGGGCTCTCCTGTCCCCATGGTGACAGAAATCAGAAGATGTTCCTGTAGTTCTAAAATAAATATGAATATGCATTAATTAATCTCACTCACCAAAAACAAAAAAAAACAAACACAGATTCAGTATTCCTCAAAATGAATAAAAATAATGCAACTCAGAATATGACGCAAACCTGCAATAATTAAATGTTAAACAACTCAAATATGCTTTATGTATTTATTCCCATTCTATTAACCAATGTCTTTGCTTCTGACCTTCGATGATCCAGTTCA